AAATAAATAAAATCTTAAAAAAAAAAAAAAGAAATATCACTTTAACATACACATTTTAATTTGATAGTTAACTTTTTATAAATATATCAAAAAACTAAATGAAAGACACTTAAACTCAAAGATGATGACACACTACAGAACATTTTACTTCACTGAATGAAAGGAAATTTTATAGAGATTATCAATATAAGGGGACTGAAATTCACTGCTATGCATTATATTTATTTGCGATAAAGCTGATCACCATTATTCTTTATATGCAGCACAAAAACATAAATTCCTTCCTCATGAGTTCCATAACAACATCCAGATTCAACTCTTTACTAGAAGATAATGTAGACATTTTAACTCTTTTATAATATTTTTCACTTTTAGTAACCTCTTACCCTAAATGCAGGATTTGCTCCATGCTCCAATAAGCATCTCACGGTACTTGCACACAAGTTATATGCAGCAATATGCAGAGCCGTTCCAAAATTAAAGTCACTGCAAGTGGCATCTACATCTGCAATTAAACACCGCAAGTATATTAGCTAAGAATTTAAATTTAGCTATTATAATATAAAAGGAGACAGGTAGGCTTTTTTTTTTTTCTGGTTGCGGGTGGGGAGGGAGAACTTTATTAAGCCATTTTGAGACTTAAACCCAGCCACTAGAAACACCATTTCACGATGGAACCAAATCTTCATACTACAATCTGGTTAACCAATTATTTTCTCAGTACCATAAAATTTCATTATAACATGGACTGGTATTATCATAGATTTTCCAACTATCACAAACTAAACTATATAAACTATATTTAAAAGAAATTAATGGCAATAATTATCATTTGTAAAAGTAATGATTTTAACACAATCTCTCATTAACCTCTTGCATGTATGTCATGACAGCTACGATGAGGTATTAGGTTTAGGTCAGGAACCAGCCCATGGGCAAACACAACTCACCATCCATTTTTATAAATGGAGTTTTACCGGAACAAGCCACAAATACTTATTTACATATTCTCTATGGCTAGCTTCCTGCCATAACTGCAATATCAAGTAGCTGCAGTGGTCCACGAAGCCTACAGTATTTCCTATCTGGTCCTTCACATAAAAAGTAGTAGGTAGAACAATGCAGAATTTTCAAACAGGGAATAAGTTAAAGACTAATTAAACATATAAATGCTTACAAATCATATTCATTCATAATACTTTAGTCAACAAATGAATTTGGACTTCATGGTAGGAAAAAAGAATCTTGCAATTCTTTTTTTTTTTTTTTTAAACATTAGACTTTGGTTTTAGTTAGTGTCACCCTATGGCACACACCATTTTTTTTTTAAAGATTTTATTTATTTATTTATTTGAGAGAGAGAGAGAGAGAGAAACAGCATGAGAGGGGAGAGGGTCAGAGGGAGAAGCAGGCTCCCCGCTGAGCCGGGAGCCCGATGCGGGACTCGATCCCGGGACTCCAGGATCATGACCTGAGCCGAAGGCAGTCGCTTAACCAACTGAGCCACCCAGGCGCCCCAGAATCTTGCAATTCTAAGGACATTGTAATAACTTTCAATAAATCACCATGATGCTATACTTAGACACAAGAAATCTTCCAGATTTGGGAATCCCATTTTGCATGTCTTCTGTAACAAGGGTTTAATACATTTGGTTCTACTAATTCTACCTTAATCTAAACCACACCACCCCACGTCCTACCTACAATTGCAAACAACTATGACATGCTCAGGACAAACTTTCCTGAGTTATTAAAGACACTGTACTATCAAAAGAGGCTTTCTTCTTGGGGCGCCTGGGTGGCTCAGTCGTGAAGCATCTGCCTTCGGCTCAGGTCATGATTCCAGGGTTCTGGGATCGAGTCCCGCATTGGGCTCCCTGCTCCTTGGGAGCCTGCTTCTCCCTCTCCCACTCCCCCTGCTTGTGTTCCCCTCTCTCGCTGTGTCTTTCTCTGTCAAATAAATAAAATCTTAAAAAAAAAAAAAAAAAGAGGCTTTCTTCTTAACATCAATCAAAAATTAAAAGGTAAAAGTTAAAGATAAAATGGACGACTACACAAAGCAGAGTGAGAAACAGTCGGAAATTTAGCTACTGAATCTCTAAAACAAGTCTTCTATGAATGGGGAAAACACCGTACACCGCTCACCTTTAATTTAGGGTAATACTATTGCATTTGCTCTCATATTTTTCTCAATAGAAAATTGACCCACTGAGAGGACCAGAGAGAAAGTCAAAATACCAGCACTGTAATATAGACAGTCTGATATTCAATTTTAGGATATCACTATCAAAATAGAAAGGGGAAAAAAAAACACCTGAATTTGTATCCTTCTTTAATCAGAGAATTTCAGAACCAAATGCCATCTAAAATACTCTTTATGATTTCAATGCTTAGCACTGAAAGCTTTATTGTTCTATTTCTGGCTACTCAAGACAAAAGAATTATATAGCACATAGATTCAATTACACTTTATAAAATCCATGTTATACTGGGGAATTTGCAGAGATATAAAAACCCAGAGAACACTATTTTACTTTGTATCTCTGTACTAAGCCTTTTGTTAATGACAGCAGTTAATCTTCAATAAAGAAATATTAAACTATTCCTGAAGAAAAAAATGGGATAAGAGGTCATATGGAACAAGATGGATTACAAGCAGAAATCTCTTTGAATTTTAATTTTTATGCCACTAATAAAGTGTTCAACTAATAACATCTCATGGTGATCTTATAGTACTTGCCTTTTGGTTTAGATGTCTTCAAAATCACTTTTATAAGCTCAGGGACATCAAAATAAGCAGCATAATGCAAAGCATTCATATTTGTCCAGCGACTCCGTAAACTAACATCTGCTCCCAGATCAATAAGCTGAGTTGCAAATTTTACAGCTGTATCAACATCACCTAAAGAAAGTTTTCTAAATTATTTTCCTTCAGTACAACCTGAAGTTCCAATGGATGTCTATCTACTAACTTATTTAAAAAGCCAAAGCAAATAGCATACTGAATCTACATATACACCTCAAAAATTTCATTTACAAGGAATTTGTTCTAAAAAAAACAATCATACTCAGAGATATGGATAAACACTTAGTTGTAAAGATGTTCATCACAGCACTTTTTATTATGAATAAAATTCTGAAACTAAACTACTTTATAAATAAATAAACAAACTATTTTATTCTAAAAGTACAATAATATGATATTGGTTAAATAAATCATAAGTCATCCACATACTAGGATACTATAAAGCCATTAAAAGCAATGCCCTAGACCAGTACTACTCAGTGTGTTCTGTGGACCACTACCAGTCCCAAACTCATTTCTCTGTCCTTTTGATAACCCTTTTCTTTTTCCCAAAGCAATAATTTCTTCAGAATATATTAATTGAAATGTAATTTTATGCCTTTTGAAAAACTGGGCTTGTATTTTATGTCTTTATTTTATTTTTCTATTATAATTTCATTTGTTTTGTTTTTTTTTTTTACAATCAGTCCATGATGGATTATAAGAAAAAAAAGTCCTTCACCATCAACAGCTTAAGAGGCATATATCAGACTACTGAAACAGGGAGAGATATTCACAGTATACAGTTAAGTAACAGAGGCAGGTTTATACAATGGTAAAGCACAGAACGCCAATCTGGGAAAATATCCGTGTATGTTATGTATACAGGAATACTCCTTAGGCCTAAAGACTGGGGTCTGTGAGGATTGGGATGCTTGGAAAACAGCTTAGATTGTCTAACCTTGCTGTAAACTCTCAGGAATGTTCTAGGGTGCTATCAGTTACTCTCACCTAGTGAGAATGCAGCTATGAAGCCTGCTCTAGAAAATTTGGGAGGTATCAGGAGACTATAAAGACCCCCACCCCTGAGAAAAGGCGGGGGAAGGGAACAAGGTTTTTGGGAGGACCCAACTGAATGCTTGCCTGTTCAGGGGACATTATTATCATCAGCTAGGTGCCCTCCCAGGGACTCTGGTTGCATAACATAGCTTATACAAACACAAATACAGATGTCTTAAACCACCAGCAGATTTGCCACACACTTACCAATACCATGAGCTCCAGATTTGCAAGTGTAATGTAAAAGAGTCATATCTGTCAATCCATCTCTGTCATTCACATTGCAGCCTCTCTTAAGAATCTGAGGAAACCAAGGAAGATATGACAACATGATGACTGAAAACTGATTTCAAACCCACGCTGAGAACCAAGTTAGTCCATCCTATCAGAATTAGTTCTCAATAAAATGAGTAGCTAGAACTGGCTTCTCTTAAGGATAAATTTTAAATTCTGCATCCAATAGCAATAATGAAAATAATTTGTCACCAGACTGAAGGAAATTCTTAAAGACTATTCCAAGGTAATCTGGCACTCCAAATATGTCTCTTAGCCTCTCAAAGGATAAGCAGAATTTTCTTTCTAATGGTTATAATGGTATTTGAAAAAATATATAAGCTCTCTCTTCTTAACCACATGACGATATGCAGGTCAAAAAACCCAGTTATTCTTTCTTCCCTCCTTCAAAAAATCAAATACTTTTGAAAACTATATTTAAGCCTACATCTTTACCAGACCACCCCAAAGTATGGATAAAACATGTTGGTAATCAAATTTCCTCATGAAATGTATTTTTTAAAGTCTACAAAATTAATGTGTACAAAGAAAGGAAGTATGGAAAATGCCACTGTCACCGAGTCTCTAACATCAGAACTCCAGGCATAAGCAAGTGAGGAGCATGAGGGAACAATGGAAAGAATGTACAATACTAACTCAGCTGCCCCACGCAAAGCCTGGAGATACAAAGAACAAACACCAGAATCTTTAAAAGGTTTTTCATTTATCACCACCTTTCCATTCAGATGGTGGGGTTTGCTGTGGGGGGGCGCATCTATACAATTAACAATCCTAACAATGCAAAATGTAAAATGGAAGAATTCCTTACCTCATTTCCAATAATGTCAATGTTTTGCTGGACCTGAGGAACCCACTGTCTTAAAATGGCAAATAATTCTGATACAGAAGTTTTAGGATCAAAGAGAATTTCCTGGCATGATGTATCATTAGGATCAAAGAAAGAAAACTCTGTTTGAAATTAAAAAAAAAAAAGGTGTAAATTAAACTTATTAAAAGTGCCAAATAATTATATTGAAAATAATAAACAATAAGACCAGGGCTCAAATGATACAGATATCTTTAGATGCTAGGAGAAGTAGGTTTAAACAATTTTCATAACCCAAGTCAAGAGAGCCAAAAAGTATGCAGCATTCCTGAATTGTTGTGGGAACAAGGTTTCTGTGCATCATACCACATTTTATTACAGACAGAACAAAAAATGTGAGCGCATCCATCTCAAACCTTGAACTTTCCAACAACTACTCCTAAGGCACAGAAAATCTATCAAATTTTATCAATATTTTCAGCTCTCACAGCATAAATATATCATGAACAGCAGATTCACATCTATAATTAAAACACACATAAAAGGGGGAAAATGCCAAAGTATCAACTGGTGTGCAATTTTATATATTCTTTTTACTTCTCTGTATTTACCTAATTTTCTGTAAGAGACAGGCATTACTCTCTACCCGCTGAAGAGGCATGAAAACTGCCACACCGACGATAAGGGACCAATATCTGGCGATGCAGAAGTGAAACCTTGTACCAGAGTGACAGGGTGATTTGGGAATATGTATTAGTAAAAACATGGAATACTAGCAAAATTGAACATGATCTAAATATCTCTTAAAATTTCTCTAAGATTCATGGAAAACTTTGGTCAACCTATGGCTAGAGAAGAGAATGGAAGAAAATCAGATTCTACTATCTCAAACAATCCCACAAAAGGGGGGGGACAAGGAATAGAAAAAACCAGAAACATCTAAAGAAGGAAAGCATTAGAGAACCAACATTTGCGGAGTACTTACAACTAACCAAACACCTTACAAGTCCTCACAAACACCCTACTTGGGGGTACTATTATTCTCATTTTGCAGGTAAAGAAACCAAAGCTCAGACTAAATAATACTTGCTCCAAGTCACACAGCTAGTAAGTAAGGCACATCTGGGGTAGAAAACCAGATCTGTATCCAAAGTCTATCTTCCTTCCTCTATTATGCTGCCTCTGTAAAAGAATTCACTATTGAAGTCAGCTTTTAACAGCATACACGAGTAGCAGGATTCATGGTTTTTTTAATGCCCTTTGCATTTTTATATATTTTCCAAAATTATACTATGTACACATAATTCATATTTTTAGAATCAGGATAACTAAAAGGTGAGTGGGAAAGCACAAAACCAAGGATGTGTATAAAAGGAGAGCAGCAGTCCATTAGGAGAGAATCAGAAAAACTAAAACTAGAATGAGATACTAAAATCTTAGACAACAGAATGGCCCTCTAGGTTCAGAAAGGAAGACTCAGAAAAGAACTGGTATCCAATGGAGAGAAGCACCTTGCATGGTTTCTTGAACATAGATTTGGGTAAGTTTCCTATAGGTCGCAGTTGACTAGATAGGGTGGGGGTGTCTAACTGATTATCTATTCAATAAATATTTATGGATCAGTTCTTTTTTTTAAGCATTGGGCATTGATAGTGGAGGAATTTCTAAATATATACCTAGAGACTCTTCTGCATGTGTCCACAGGAGACATGTTCAAGAATTCTTATTCTAACATTAATTATAATGGCAAAACAGCTGGGCTGAAACATCTCTCCATAAAGAAGTGGACAGAATTGGCATATTCTATTTTTTGCTTTTTAACAACTAAAGAAATGAATTAGATATCTAAATCGTGAGTTGATAAGGCTAGGTCTCAAAAAACATACTGATTGATAAATTAAGCTGCAGAATAATATGCAATTTCTATCATTTACATAAAACTACAAATACACAAAACACTACTACATATTATTTAAGTATGCTCATTTATATAGTAAATATATGATAATATGGTCTGGAATATTCATACTAAATATCAGATAATGGCTGCCTCTGGAGAGCAAGGGGAATAGGACCAAAAGAAAACAGAAGGAATTTCAACTTTAAGGTTTTCTTGTAACCAAAAAACAAGAGCTAAAGGGAAAATGACAAAATGCTAATATTTATTCTTTCTGACAGTAGATATGTGTGATCATATATGTTTGCTACTACTATATTTTGTGCATTTTTATATGATTTCCTATTTTAAAAAAATGAAAAACAATGGGAAAAGCATCCCACACACAATATCAATAAAAGTAAGAAATATGCCAATGAATGTGTGAGGCTTATTTATAGAAAACTGGGGGGCACCTGGGTGGCTCAGATGGTTAAGCATCTGCCTTTGGCTCAGGTCATGATCCCAGGGTCCTGGGATCGAGCCCCACATCGGGCTCCCTGCTTGGCGGGGAGCCTGCTTCTCCCTCTCCCTCTACTGTTCCCCCTGCTTGTGCTCTCTCACTCTCTCTATCAAATAAATAAATAAAATCTTAAGAAAAAAAAAAGAAAGAAAGAAAACTGGAAGAGGAGAGTGACTTAAATGGAGTGAGATACAACATGTCGCAGAACTAAAAAATATCTAAAGCCGCCAATTTTACCAAAAATAATTATTTAAAATAATTTCAATTCTAATCAAAATCTCACCAGGATTTTTTTGTGAGAGGAGATACAGAATTACTCTATGGTTCATCAGTAGCAGAGCTTCTCAAACCTTAACGTAGATAGAAATCACCTAGGGATCTTGGTACAATGTTAATTCTGAGCCAGTAAATCTCAGGAGGGGCCTGGAACTGAGCTTCTTCTTCTTCTTCTTTTTTTTTTAAGATTTTATTTATTTGATAGAGAGTGAGAGTGAAAGAGATCACAGAGGCAGAGGGAGGAGGAAAAGCAGGCTCCATGCTGAGCAAGGAGTCCAATGTGGGGCTTGATCCCAGGACCCTGAAATCATGACCTGAGCCAAAGTCAGACACTTAACTGACTGAGCCACCCAGGAGCCCTGGAATTGCGTTTCTAACAGGCTCCCAGTGATGCCAATGCTACCAGACTAAGGATCACACTTTGAGTAGCAAAGATCTAGAAAGTAAATATAAGATAAATAAGCAAGAACAGTTGAACTAAAAAAAAACAACAATGACCTGTGTAGGGAGAGGGGGCAATAGCCCAATAAATAATAAAGCATATAACAAGGCTTCCGTAATTATATACTGAGGTGATGGCAAACAGCAAACAGCTCATTTAAATAATAATGACAATATGTTACACTTACTAAGTACTTAATAGATACCAGGGACTGTTCCATGCACTTTATTGCCTAGTTTAATCCTCATAATGACCATATGAGGTAGGTACTATTATTGTTCTCATTTTATCATAGAGGAAATAGAGGGAACAGAGAAGGGACAGAGAAAATTATTTATTTTCAAATCATGCAACTGGTAAGTGGTTGAGTCAGGATTGAAAACCAGACTGATCTGTAATCTTAATCTCGATGCTATACTACATATTAACAAATCTAACTAAATCCAAAGTTTAAGCTTCTATACAGGGGGGAAAAAAAAGCTTTAATCAAAAGAAAGCAGGGGGGGTTGGGGAGGAACTGTCCCACTTCATGTCAGGATGGACTAATGAGGACCAGATTTACCCCTCCACCTGAAACAAAAAGAACAAAGAAAATAGATGAAATGCAGTTTTCAAGGACACTGAACATCAAGGCAATGAAAGACAGTGATCATAACAGGATACAAATAAGGTGAGTCTTACAATTGCCTCAGATATCTGCCTTGACAGTTTCCAGGTCTCAGTGCAGAGAGAGGGAAACCAAGAGAAGCACAGAAGACTCACTGAGTTGAGGAGACAACACTGAGAGCCAAGGAAATCCAGGGAGCTAGAGTTCACAGGAAAGAGTATCAGAGAGGAGAGAGATAACCACAGCAAGAGAATCCCAAAGATCTATGAAGGGTCTTCTTATTTTATATATGCTTGTGAGGAAAACCTGAGGTAAGAGAAAGAACCATCGTAAAGGATTAAAAAGATTAGAGCCCAGTGCTCGTAAAGGGCCTAAAACAGTACCTGTTCAGATGAATGGATAAAGAAGATGTGGCATGCATACACACACATACACACACACACACACACACACACACACAATATGGACTATTACTCAGCCGTGAAAAAGAATGAAATCTTGCCATTTGCAATGACGTGGATGGAACTAGATGGTATTATGCTAAGTGAATTAAGTCATATCATATGACTTCACTCATATGTACAATTTAATAAACAAAATAGATGAACATAGGGGAAGGGAAGGAAAAACAAGACAAAAACAGAGAGGGAGGGGCGCCTGGGTGGCTCAGTCATTAAGCATCTGCCTTCAGCTCAGGTCATGATCCTAGTGTCCTGGGATCGAGCCCCGCATCAGGCTCCCTGCGGAGACTGCTTCTCCCTCTCCCACTCCCCCTGCCTGTGTTCCCTCTCTCGTTGTGTCTCTCTCTGTCAAATAAGTAAATAAAATCTTTAAAAAAAAAAAAAAAAAAACAGAGAGGGAGACAAACCGTAAGAAAGACTCTTTACTATAGGAAACAAACTGAGGGTTGCTGGAGGGGAGATGAGTGGGAGGATGGGGTTACTGGGTGATGGGCTTTAAGGAGGGCACCTAATGGAATGAACAATGGGTGTTATATGCAAGTGATGAATCACTAAATTCTACCTCTGAAACTAATAATACACTATATGTTAACTAAATTGAATTTAAATTAAAAATAAATAAATAAAATAAAAAAGAAATAAAATAGTGCCTGTTCCCACCAAAAAGACTAGGAAAAAAATTCACAGGGCACTGGGTAGAATACTGAATAGTAAGGAATAATTAGCCCCAGATTAGCACTGCTCCAGAACCACCTAATAAATAATAAAACAAGACCTGAAAGGGCCAAACTATTTCCAAGGAACTTAACTGCATCCCATAACAAAATTCAAGAATACTTACAGGAATAGAAAAATATCCAGCACCCAACAGGTAAATTCACGATGTCTGGCATCCAATCACAGATTGCCAGGAATGCAAAGAAAGGGGAAAACATGACCCATAATCAGGGATAATCAACTGAAACAGACCTAGAGTTGACATAAAATTATAATTAACAGAAAAGAACATTAAAACAGCCATTATAACTGTATTTCAAATGTTCAAAAGGTTAAGTAGAGACATGGATGATATGAAAAAGACCCAAATTGAACTTGAGAGATGAAAACAATAGCTGCAATGAAAACTACACTGGATGAGATCATCAGCTGATCAGACATCGCAGATGAAAAGATTAATGATCTTGAAGACACAGCTACAGAAACTATCCAAGATAAAACACAAAAGAATTTTTTAAATATGAAGAAAGCATCAGCGAGCTGTGGGACAACTTCTAGGAACTGGAGTGTCTGAAAGGGCCAAGGGGCAGAAAAAAATATTTGAAGATATAATGATCTCCCAAACTCGATGAAAACTGAAACCAACAGGTCCAAGATGCTTCACAGACCCCGTGCAGAAGAATATAAAGAAAATTACACCAAGACACATCATAGGAAAATTGCTCAAAACCAATGATAGAAAAAATCTTAAAAGCAGCCGAGGTGGGAGGCGGGGGGAGAGGCATTACATTCAGGGAAACAATCACAGCACTTTTCCTATCAGAAACAATGCAAGTAAAAAGACAATGGAGCAATATCTTTGAGCACTGAAAGAAAAAAACTGTTAACCTAGAATTCTATACTCAGCAAACCTATTTCTCAAAAGAGAAGGCAACATAAAGATGTTCCTAGACATCTAAAAGTTGCAGGCATTCCTCACCAGCAGATCTGTACCACATGAAATGTTCAAGGAAGCCCTTCAAGCAGAAGGAAAATGGTATTGACTGGACACCCAGACCTGCACAACAGAATAAAGAACACTGGAAATGGTAACTACTTGGGCAAATAAGATATGTTACTATTACTTAAATCCCTTTAAGAGGTAACTCATTCTTTAAGGAAAAATAATAATGCATCGTGGGGTTTATAACGTATGTGATATGCATTCTGTGTACACTGGATTCCAAAAATCTTTATATTGCCTTGCAGGGTAACCACCTGGAGAATCAACACTGACCTGCATGTCTAAGCTCTGGTTTGTGCAGTTGGTTTTTCTTTGTTTCTTTTTTTAATCTCATTCTCAGTCTCACATTCAATGGCTCTCATTACACTCCGCATAAAATACAAATTCCTTACCAAGGCCTAAATGATCCCGCGTGATCTGCCCCCTGCCTTTCTCTCCAACATCCTCTCCTGTCGTTCTGCCCCTCAACCACTTTGCTTCTCATCCACAATGGCCTTCCTTTAATTCTTAGGATGTACCAAAGTTTTGTCCCCAACTCTGTGTCTTTAACTTCCTATTCTTCTGCCTGGAATACTTCTCTCCAGGCTCTTCTTGTGACCAGCTTCTTCTGACTCCAGATGACCACCCCATCTACAATAAACACTCTGCCCCATTATCCTGTCACAGCACCCTGTTTCTTTTCTCCACAAAATTCATTATAATCTATAATATTTATGTTTTGTTTATTAATTTGTTTATTGTCTTTCCCCATTAGAATGTCTATCTCAGTCACTGTGCTATCCCCAGCAACTAGGACAGTATCTGGCACATAACAGGCCCTCAGTAAATAATAAATACAATTCAGGATGCCACTTTTCAAGGGGACACTGACTACACTGTACAAAGAAAGAAACAACTAGAATGAAAAGGGTCTAGAAATCCTGACACTGAGGGACTGATGAAGAAACCAGAAACATGTAGCCTAAGGAACTACAGGCTAAATAAAAATATTCAAATTATCTCCAAATATTTGAAGGCTATCATATAAAGAAGTATGTTCCACACATCAAAAACTAGTATTGGTTGGCCAAAGTTTCAAGGAGACATATTTTGAGTCTATATACAAAAACAACTTTATCACAACTAAAACTTTTTAACCATGAAATGGACTGTTCCACTAGTTTCCCACTACTGAAGTTATCCAAATGGCTGAGTGGTTATTCATCAGAGATCCTAAAAATAGAATTTCTATACTAAGAAGGGAGTAGAGAAAGTTGACCTACAGGTCCATTCAGATTCTAAGAATGTATAATTCTAAGCATATAGGCAGTGTTTAATTTCAGTTATACAAAGGGGTCAATGGCCATTATCACCTTACATTCAATGTATTTATTCAACAAACACTGACTGAGCAACTAATCAACAAATCACTAGCCCTACATTAGCCCTGAGAAGATAAACAAAAACAAAGCATGGTTGTTACTCCATCCCAAAGAGCTATAGCCTAGGAAAGGAAATAAGACAATTATGACTCAGGATAGAATGAAGGAAGTGCCATAAGCAAGGCACAAAGTGCTTTAGTTAAGGCTTTTCCCACATAATTGATTTTGTTATATCTGAAAATAAACCCAGCCCACGTTTTATAAAAGCTGCAAATAACTCCCAGGATCCAAGCACAGGTTTTATGGAATATTTCTGATCACTGCAAGGCAAGCTGCTCTAGAATCTGAACTTGGAGCTGAGTAATTATTAGAATGGATATGACTAAAGAGATAAATTCCCCACCTAACAATTTCATATCTACTAATATTTAAAAATTGCATTTCTGAAGAAAAAATAAAAAATAATAGAAATTGCATGATCTCTGCCTCCGAAGACAATTTGAAATGATGACCCAATACTTTACTTGAAAAATTCTAACTAAACTAGAAATGTAATAAATCTATTAAATTTATCCCCTGGTTTTCTTTTATTCCTTTAGCAATGATCTGATAAAATATAGTTCTGTAGAAATAAGCCTAAATAGGTAAAAACTAGAATATATTAAATTTACATTTTACAAAGGAGATTTAAGTGAACCGATTTAAATATGAACCAATCCCACTTCACATTCCAGGGAAAGGTCTCACACTCTCTACCTAAGTACATGGCTTTTTTTTTTTTTTTTTAAGTTTTACTATATTTGTGTATACATAATTACAATGGAAGACAACTGAGAGAGGATCCAAATTAGGCTTGCTTATGTACTGAAACACATAACTTGTTACATTGTCCCCCAAATTTGGATCATTTCAGTAGTGATTATTTGGTGAATTAGATCCTAGTACTTCAGAGACAGCAGGGCCCTTAGAGATGGCTAGCTCATAATATTTTGTTTTGTCTTAATACATGGCTTTTTAAGCAAGTCAGTATATTTAACCAAAATAAATACATCAACAGCAAAAGAATGCTAGATGTCTAAGCACCACTGCATTCTAAAAATAAGATCCTCTAAATCCATCATGGTGCTTAAAATGAACATTTTTACATAATAAAAATGCTGACAGCAAAATAAACCATTTAGCTTAAGAGGCAGGAAAAAAGCAATAAGCAATTGTATTTTTGAAAAAGGAAAACTAGCAATTTTATGAAAATCATGGCAAAGGGTTTTAGGAAAAATTACGAATGCAAAAAGGGCATAAGACAGAAGTCAAGTCTCCAGGCCTTTATCAGCTACTCGACGTACCGCAGTCCGAAGGCATTGGTGCCGCAGAAATGGAAAAAACAACGGGTGTCTCAGAACCTGGAAATAAAAACGGGTATCTTCCAATCAAACAATTTCCTTCTACTGGAAAATCTGGAAGGTCCTCTATGGTCATCTTCTAGAAAGCCACCTTTAATGAGAGGGAGAAAAAAGCATATCTATTATATTTGTATGCAGCTTAGAATGATTGCCTTCAATCACAATAAAAAAGCCTATTTTCTTTTAATATATAACCTACTGACATTTTTTTTAAGATTTTATGTTTTAAAGTAATTTCTACACCCAACATGGGACTCAAACTTACAACCCCGAGATCAACTGTTTCATGTTCCTCCGATTGAGCCAGCCAGGCACCCCAACCCACTGACATTGTAAACTTCAACCTTCAAGAATCTCTTTTAGAGAGGAAGAGGAAAATAAAACTTCCTTTTAGCAAACTGCTGTTGAACAATATATGTTGCTTCATAAGTCTCTTACAGACATGTAATCTTTTTAGACAAAGTCCGGGAGTAATAAAAAGCTATGTATTTCCCAATAGGTGAAAATTTTTTAAAATGCTGAGTTAATCTAAATGGGTGATCTTCTCTTTACTCACAGTAACAAAGGGACATAATATCTCTTATGGATATATCTCTATCTATCATAGGATCTGACACAGGTTATATTATCTATCATCCAGTAATAGCTCATGTCATATGCTCATCACATGAAAATCATATACTTTAGAATGTTCTTATTATTTTCTGAAATCCCTGAACACTTTACTGAAAATCAATCACATCATTTATACAAATATGGATCTAAGAGCTTATTGCTGTTCACTTCTTATCAACGTACAAGACCTATTCAGTCTATCCTAGCAGAAGTTGGAAGGCCATGCCTTGTAAACCACATCACTTATATTACCTCTTTTTCCCAGAAAACATGAGAGCTTAGAATAAATGTGCTATAAACTGGACTGCTGCTGCAGCCTAGCTCATTTGGAAATGGCATAGAAGGCAGAGAAAATGTTAGTAAAACTGAACTATAAAGGTAAAAAAGCATCCAGTTTCTTTTGTATCAAATCTTTAAAGTCTGAAATATTATGAATCTCTATATCTGTTTTAAATATAAGCAAAAACCTATATTAAAAAACTAAATAAAAATGATTTTTGACCATTTTAATAGAAAGAATAAATCAAGATAGTTAACTGATAGCTTACTCTACCAGCTCATGGTAGAGTAAGGATATTACTCAATGTGTGTTCTATTATACTTCGTTAACCAGTCCTATATCTAACTTACCCATCTTTACTCCACCATCATCATCCTGCTCCAAAGAAACAGTCACCCCTCTGAGCTAACTGGTTCCTCTCCAACTTGATTCATATGTTTTCTGAAGACTAGCAGGAACTGGCAAAGAGTAAGGTGATTTCTTTTTTTTTTCATAAAGTGCATGCTTATATGGATGTGTGGATATTCTATATTAAAGAACCTAATCCAGTGTTAACTATATTAAAGGTATTCAAGTTCTCTTGGATGCTAAAGTTACTTGCCACCCAATACTTTGAATCATTTTGACAGTAACTCTGCCACATAAACAGGAAAATAACAAGGAACGGGTATCACACAGCAAGGTGATTTTCCTCAAATACTTCAATTCCAAAAAGTAACACACACCCTAGAGTTTCTCATCCAAAAATGTTTTTTGAAAGTGATCCTGAGACCACCTGTCATTTCCTTGCAGGTTGTGGAGATCCTTTAAAGAACTGTACCTTATACAACTATCACTTACCACAGGAGCTAGATTAGCATCTTCCACATATTTTTTATTCAAATCCTAGATTCAGGGTGGAAAGATGATTCACTTAACAAGATGTAATAAACGTTGTCATTTCACATGCTAGATACTTCAAGCCCAGAGAAGCTACAATATTACTTGATCAATGTACTGAACATTCTTTGTATTTTGTGTCTTCATTGCATTGTTCCCTAGTCCCATTTCCTTTCCTTTATGAAAAACTCAACATTCTACCTTTTGCCCCATTTAACAAAACTGCACAACTCTATAAACTGGTCAAGTTTTAGAATCCCTCCTGAAAGCAATCTCTGGATCTAAAGATCTATGACACCTGGAATCTTGATCAAACTTGGTCAAAGTAGAATCAGATTCTCCAAATTTTGATTTATGCAGGAATCCCATCCTACACCATTACCCCAAATCAGCTCTGAGAAAATGCAACTTGTTTTAAAAGTAGTTGGTTTTTTAAGATTTTATTTATTTATTTGACAGAGAGAAACACAGCAAGAGAGGGAACACAAGCAGGGGGAGTGGGAGAGGGAGAAGCAGGCTTCCTGCAGAGCAGAGAGCCCAATGCGCGGCTCGATCCCAGGACCCTGGGATCATGACCCGAGCTGAAGGCAGACGCTTAACGACTGAGCCACCCAGGCACCCCAGAAAATGCAACTTGTAACATGGCTCTAGTATCTAATGATTTTTCAAGGATTCCTGGCCATGCCCTAACACAGAATGGTGGTGAGTGGAGATGTCCACTAACTTCTTCAAAGTGGTTCAGGGCTGGTAGGCCTCACTAAGGAACCTCACTGAGGTCAAGAGACTCTCTTGGTTTTATTTGGAATATGGTTCAAGGGCAGCATCTCTGAGCTACTCAACTAACAGGACATCTAAGCTGTATCCGCACAAGTTGGAATCATGAGGCCCTTCCATTCAATTTCATACTGTAGCATGCCATGAGTCTTTATATTCATTAGACTCCCAGGAAAGTATTATAACCAAAATAAGCATTTAAACCATATCTCTAAGTATCCTTTAAAAATTAAAAATAGGGGCGCCTGGGTGGCCCAGTCGGTTAAGGGTCTGCCTTCGGCTCAGGTCATGATCCCAGGGTCCTGGGATCAAGCCCCACATCTAGCTCGCTGCTCGGCGGGAAGCCTGCTTCTCCCACTCCCACTCCCCTTGCTTGTGTTCCTGCTCTCACTATCTCTCTCTCTGTCAAATAAATAAAATCTTTAAAAAAAATTAAAAATAGAATTACTATATGATCTGGTGATTCCACTACTAGGTATTTAATCAAAGAAAATGAAAACACTAAACCAAAAAAATATATGCACCCTATGTTTACTGCAGCATTATGTACAATAGCCAAGATATGGAAACAACCCAAGGGTCCATCCATAGATGAACGGATGAAGACAATGTGGGTGTGGGGTCTGTGTGTGTGTGTGTGTGTGTGTGTGTGTGTGTGTGTGTGTGTGTGGAATATTACTCAGTCATAAAAAAGACTATCTTGCCATTTGCAACAATATGGATGCACCTAGAGGGTATAATGCTAAGTGAAATAAGTCAGACAGAGAAAGACAAATACCATATGATTTCAATCATATGTGGAATTTAAGAAACAAAACAAAGGAACAAAAAAGGAAGGAAGGAAGGAAAGCAGGGAGGGAGGGAGGGCAGACTCTTAAATACAGGGAACAAACCAGTGGTTGCTAGAGGGGAGGTAGGTGGGGGGTGAGTGAAAAGGATAAAGAATATTAAGAATACACTTATCATGATGAGCACTGAGTAATATAGCAATTGAGTCATTTTACTGTATACCTAAAATTAATATAACACTATGTGTTAATTATACTTTAATAAAAGATGGTAACAAAAAATTTTCTAATGTAACATCTCCAGTTACCCACTTATTTGTTACATACATGCATCTGTTCAATCACTAAACAAGTATTTACAGTTTTTAATACTTAGTAGGCTCTGGGCCCTACAAAGATTATAAAAGACACCTGCCCTCAAGAATTTCACTTAGTCACTCAACAAACATTTGCTGAGTGTTTCTAAGTCCTAGGCTAGGTAGCAAAGGGAAAGAAAATAGGTATGCCCTTGTCCTCACATAGATTAGAGTCTCATACAAGATTCCTATAAGAAAGCTGTAGGTACTATATAGTTGTAACAAGTGCTGGATTCAAGAGAGCCAGTGGAAGCTTCCTGAAGGACTAAATTTATAGCTGCAGTGTCCAAACAGGTGGCTACTAGCCACATGTGGCTATTTACATTAAATTAAAAAATCAGTTCCTCCATTGCTCTAGCCCCATACAAGTACTCAAAAGCCACACGTGGCCAGTGGCTAACCTGTTGAAACAGTGCAGAAACACTTCCCGCCTTGCAGAAAGTTCTACTGAATATCACTGAAGCAAAACAGTGCTTCTCAAACTCCAGATGAGAAAATAATAAACAGCAAGAAACAAATAAAGGTTAACAAACAAAGCAAGCCAACAGCATCACAGTTAATTATACATAATTAACAAGGGAACTAGGCCTAAAAGTAACCAGATATTTGTAGGGGTTTTTTTAAGATTTTATTTATTCATTTGAGACACAGATATAGAGAGAGAGAGAGAGAGAAAGCATGAGCAGGGGGAGAGGGAGAGGGAGAGGGAGAAGCAAGCTCCTCGCTGAGCCAGGAGCCCGATGCAGGGCTCGATCCCAGGACCCCGGGACCATGACCTGAGCCAAAGGCAGACACTCAACCATCTGAGCCACCCAGGCGCCCCTATTTGTAGGTTTAAACAGAGAGAGTTGAGGGGCATCTGGGTGGCTCAGTCATTGAGCGTCTGCCTTCAGCTCAGGTCATGATCTCAGGGTCCTGGAATCAAACCCCGCATCAGGCTCCCTGCTCCACAGGAAGCCTGCTTCTCCCTCTCCCACTCCCCCTGCTTGTGTTCCCTCTCTCACTGTGTCTGTCTCTGTCAAATAAATAAATAAAATCTTTAAAAAAAAATTTAAAAATAAACAGAGTTGATTCTATAACATAAAAATCACTAGTACTTGTTTCAAAATTAGGGGCGTTATAAACAATAAAAGACACCATATAAATATCACTTTTTTAAAAGGCCCTGCTGGTGGAAACTGTATCTGGTAAATCTGAAATATCTGTAATAAATACTACAAATAATATACCACTTGCTAAATCGTCTATAAAATCGAAATAAAAATATTCATTCCATTTCGAGATCTAATCTTACAGCCCTGGTAGTCCATTATCAAATGAAAGCATTAAAAATGCATATTAATGTTAGCAAAATAAGATAGAACCGGGATGGTTCTGCATAATAAAAACAGAGAAAGCTAG